GGTGTGGAACAGCTTGCACGGGAAATCCCGTGGGAGCGTCAAGGAAACACCCGGAAAAACGGGGAAAAACACGGGAAAAACGGGAAAAACACCCGGGAAAATGGGGAAAAACACGGGAAAAACGGGGAAAAACACGGGAAAAACGGGAAAAACACGGGAAAATGGGGGAAAATCGGGAAAAACCAGGGAAAATCGGGAAAAACACCCAGAAAAACAGGGAAAAACGGGGAAAAACACGGGAAAAACGGGAAAAAACACCCGGAAAAACGGGGAAAAACACGGGAAAATGGGGAAAAACACAGAAAAAACGGGGAAAAACACGGGGAAAACGGGAAAAACCCAGGAATAACCCAGAACCCTGAAATCCCAGGCTGAGCTCAAGGTGGGTTTAGGGCGGTTTTGGGTGGCTTTAGGATGGTTTGGGGTGAGTTTAGGGCAATTTTGGGTGGGTTTAGGGCAATTTTGGGTGGGTTTAGGATGGTTTGGGGTGAGTTTAGGGCAATTTTGGGTGGGTTTAGGGCAATTTTGGGTGGTTTTAGGGCAGTTTTGGGTGGGTTTAGGGCAGTTTTGGGTGGGTTTAGGATGGTTTGGGGTGAGTTTAGGGCAATTTTGGGTGGGTTTAGGGCGGTTTTGGGTGCTGTGGGGCAGTTTTAGGGCAGTTTAGGGTGAGTCTAGGGCAGTTTTGGGTGGTTTAAGCCAGGTTTAAGAGAATATCGTGCATGTAGGGACAGCTGTCGAGTCCAGGTGAGTACAGGGGAGGGTTTAGACTGGGTTTGGGTGGGTTCAGGTGGGTTCAGGGGAGGTTCCAGGTGTGTTCAGGTGTGTCCAGGTGTGTTTAGGCCAGGTTTAAGGCGGGTTTAAAAGGATATCGTGCATGTAGGGACAGCTGTCAGGTTCAGGTGAGTACAGGGGAGGGTTCAGGTGGGTTCAGGTGGGTTTAGGGGAGGTTCCAGGTGTGCTCAGGTAGGTTTAAGCCAGGTTTAAGCCAGGTTTAAGCCAGGTTTTAAAGGATATCGTGCATGTAGGGACAGCTGTCGGGTTCAGGTGAGTACAGGGGAGGGTTCAGGTGGGTTCAGGTGGGTTCAGGGGAGGTTCCAGGTGTGTTCAGGTGTGCTCAGGTAGGTTTAAGCCAGGTTTAAGCCGGGTTTAAAAGGATATCGTGCATGTAGGGACAGCTGTCGGCGCGGGCGCAGTAACCCGTGATGTAGAACTTGCACAGCTCGCGCTTCTTGGGCAGCTCAATGTCGTGACTGAAGTTACAGTGATCGCCCTGCACAGGTGAGACACAGACAGGTGAGAGACAGACAGGAGAGACAGGTGAGACACAGACAGGTGACACAGGTGAGACACAGACAGGTGAGAGACACACAGGTGAGACAGGTGAGACACAGGTGACAGACAGGTGAGACAGAGGAGACACAGGTGAGACAGGTGAGACAGGTGAGAGACACACAGGTGACACAGGTGAGAGACAGGAGAGACACAGGTGAGACACAGGTGAGAGACAGGTGAGACACAGACAGGTGAGACAGGTGAGACAGGTGAGACACAGGAGAGACACAGGTGAGACAGGTGAGAGACAAGTGAGACAGGTGAGACAGGTGAGACACAGGTGAGACAGGTGAGAGACAGGGAAGAGACAGGTGTGAGACAGGTGAGAGACACAGGTGAGACAGGTGAGACACAGAGAGGTGAGGGACAGACAGGGGACAGGTGACAGGGGAGAGACAGGTAGGTGAGACACACACAGGTGATACACAGACAGGTGAGACGGGTGAGAGAGGGGAGACAGGTGAGACAGGCAGGTGAGAGACAGATGACAGGGGAAAGACGTGACAGACAGGTGAGAAACAGGTGAGAGGTGAGAGACAGGTGAGAGGTGACAAGTGACAGGTGACAGGTGACAGGTGAGACAGCAGGAACAGCTGGGACAGGTGAGAAGAGAGAGAGGACAGGTGAGGGACACGGGGGGGTTGGAACAGGTGACACAGAACAGGTGACACAGAACAGGTGACACAGAACAGGTGACACAGGTGACACACAACAGGTGAGAGGGGACAAGTAGGAAAACTGGGATCCAGGTGTGACACAGGTGTGACACAGGTGTGACACAGGTGACATAAAAGTGAGCTCCAGGTGGGAATTGGGTGAAAAAAGGCAGGATTGGGGTGAAAAATGTGGGAATTGGGTGAAAAAGGCAGGAATTGGTTGAAAAAATGCAGGAATTGGGTAAAAAAGGCAGGAATTGTGTAAAAAAACCAGGATTTGGGTGAAAAAGGCGGGAATTGGGTGAAAAAAGGCGGGAATTGGGTAAAAAAAGCCAGGATTTGGGTAAAAAAAAGGCGGGAATTGGGTAAAAAAAGCCAGGATTTGGGTAAAAAAAGGCGGGAATTGGGAGGAAAAAGCCAGGATTTGGGTAAAAAAAGGCAGGAATTGGTTGAAAAAAGGCAGGATTTGGGTAAAAAAAGGCGGGAATTGGGTGAAAAAGGCGGGAATTGGGTAAAAAAAGCCAAGATTTGGGTAAAAAAAGGCGGGAATTGGGTAAAAAAAGCCAAGATTTGGGTGAAAAAATGCAGGAATTGGGGGAAAAAAGCCGGGATTTGGGTGAAAAAGGCGGGAATTGGTTGAAAAAAGGCGGGAATTGGGAGGAAAAAGCCAGGATTTGGGTAAAAAAAGGTGGGAATTGGGAGGAAAAAGGCGGGAATTGGTTGGAAAAAGGCGGGAATTGGGAGGAAAAAGGTGGGAACTGAGCAGCAGCCACGTGCCCCGCCCCTCCCCCAGGGCGGGGCCGCAATTCCCGGCGGGAATTCCGGGAATTTTCCCCCCGGGAATTCCTTACCCAGGTGCACCTGCCCTCCACGAAGTACTTGCAGATGACCTTGCCCTTCTTGTCGGCCGGCAGGTGCGGCTTGTCGTGGTCCCCACGCCGGTAGCCGCCCCCCTCCTGCCGGGAAAGAGGCGGAAAATTCCGGAATTCCCGCCGGAATCGGGGACGGGGAGGGCGGGAAACGGGAAAGGGACGGGGCGAGGGGGGGCATGAGAGGGGAATTTGGG